CGCCTTTTGCAATGTGTGGGGTAATGCTAGCAAGAGATATGTTTCTGGGGTGAACGGTAGAGTTACAGTTTGTGGACTCCTTTATCGTATTTGAAATGTGTCCCCAGAAGGACTTGATCTCTGGACAGGTCCACCAGATGTGGAGCATTGTTCCGGGCTCTTTCAAGCATCTCCAGCAGGAGTTTGATTTCCGTCCGTCAAATTTGTGTAGCCTAGTAGGCACCATATACCAACGGTATAACACCTTCCTACTAGTCTCAATATGTGTCGTGTTCAGTGTTAGATGCTTATGGGCAGCCAATATTTTGGACCAGATTTCGTTGGGTATGTCTAGGTCTAGCTCCTTCTCCCAGGCTTTTATGAATTTGAAAGCCTTTGGAGGGACTTGAGTTCCCGATAATTTATATAATAGAGATAGTAGTTTTTGTGGTGTTTTTTTGGCCATGCAGATTTTTTCTATCTCAGTCAGGTTGTTGTCCTGTTGGTGTGTGCTATCCACACTTATGTGTTTTTTCACCCAGGAATGTAGTTGTAGGTAAGTAAAGTATGCTTTGGAAGGTAGACTAAACTTTGTGGATAGCGAGTCATAGTCCAGTAAGCGGCCCTTTGACATTATCTGGGATAAACATTTAATTCCACTATTGTACCATATGCCATAGTCAAATCCAGGAATAAGGACATGAAGCGCTTGGATTTGTAGTGCCGGGGAAATATAGGAGGTATGGTAGTGTTCTTTAACGTATCCATCCCACACTAGGAGTGTCGCTACAGTAGTGGGGCATATGTTCTGGTATTTCGGTCTGTTATGTTTGGGGATCCAAGCTAGGGTTGATGCTGCTATCCCGCCAGTGTGTGCTATTTCTATTTGATGCCATGATGGTGGAGTAGTATGGTGGAAGGTCATTATGAGGGTGCCCATTAAGGCCGCTGTGTAGTATCTTGTTAAATCAGGAGCCCCCATCCCACCCTCTTTAAAGGGCTTATACATGGCGGCCGCCGCTATCCTGGGTCGTTTCCCTCCCCAGATAAACCCGTTTAACATGCTTTGGTCCTCTGTAAAGAATGCCTTTGGCAGGCCTATCTGGAGTGTTCTGAATAAATACTGGAGCTTGGGCAGTACCATCATTTTTGCTGCCGCTATCCTACCAGTCCACGAGATGTATTTCCCTTTCCAGCTGTGCAGCTGTTGTTTGATGTTACCTAGTAATTTTAGGTAATTCGCTTTATATAGTTTCCTTATTGTGGGTGTGAGGTGGATCCCTAGGATACCAAGGTAATGAAACGGTCTGGGAAGGCAAACTTCCTCAGTACAGCTAATAGGTATCCCCAGTGCAGCCTGTCAAACGCTTTCTCAGCATCTAATGACAGTGCTACACTGGGCACCCCGGTTGTGTGAATTCTGTGGATGATATTTACTAGTTTCCTCGTCCCATCCGAGCCCTGCCTACCGCGAACAAAGCCCACCTGGTCGTCCCGAATTAGTTTGGGGAGAATATTTCCCAACCTATTTGCATAGATTTTTGCCAGTATTTTTAAGTCTGTATTTAGGAGAGATATGGGCCGTAAATTCTGGCATTTGTGTGGTGGTTTCCCAGGTTTTGGCAGTGTTGTTATGTGAGCCATTAGCATCTCCTTTGGTACTTTGCCTGTCTTGAGGATAGTGTTGTAAAGTTTTTCTAGTGTGGGGGCTAAAATATGTGAGAAGGTTTTGTAATATAAATTTGTAAAGCCGTCTGGGCCGGGTGATTTCCCTTTTGGAAGGGTCTTAATTGTGTGTGTTATTTCAGTCTGAGTGATAGGGTCGTTCAGAAGGGTGCAGTCTTCCTGCGTAAGTTGACGCGTGTGGGCTTCCGTTAGGAATGTATTAATGTCTGTGACCAGTGGCTGGTGCGTGTGTTCACCTCTGTTTAAGTTATACAATGATTCGTAATAGTCAGCCAACATGTCGTGGATATCATGGGGATTATACACCTTATTTCCCAGTGAATTTAAAAGGAACGGTATTTTCGCATTTTGCCTCTTTTGCCGTAAAAGCGCTGCCAATGCTTTTCCGGCTCTGTTCCCCTGGGTATATGTTGTAAGTTTAAGCCTATGTGCCATGGTAGCTGTAGCATGTAGGTGGATGTCGTTTAACCGCCCTTTAATTTGGTCTATGCGTTGTTGTTTGGATGTTGTGGGGTTTAGGATATGGGCAGATGTTTCAACCCTAAGCGATCTCATTAAAGTTATGTATTCTGTCTTCGCTTGTTTATTTAAATGGGATGCTTGGCTGATCATGAGACCTCGAATGAATGCCTTATGCGCCAGCCACGTTGTAGCTAATTGGACATCAGGTGTATCGTTTATGGTAAAGAACGAAATGATTTCTTCAGTGAGTTTGGCGGTAAAGTCCGGGTTGCCCAGGAGAGCTTCGTTCGTGCGCCACGGTTTTGAGCCGCGGGATTGAAACTTGTCATGTAGGGTTACTATTACAGGGGCATGGTCAGACCAGACTATATTTCCTATCTCACTATGTATAGCTTTCGACAGCATGTCACTGGAGATAAATATAAAATCAATTCTGGAGTACGTTTCGTGAACTGACGAATAAAATGTAAATTCTCGGTCGTTCGGGTGTTGTGCTCTCCATACATCATACAGATTGTGTTCTAAAAGGAGTTTTACCAGTGCTGTAGCCTGTTTACCCAGTGATTTACATCTTTGGGATTCCGCCGACTGTGTGGTATCTAGTTTGGGTTGCATTACGTGGTTCAGATCTCCGCACAGGATTGTGGAGGAGGGATAAGTGGTGGGGATTTTATGTAAGACTTTTTGTAAGAAATTTCTCTGATCAGTATTAGGACTATATACTCCCACTAACGTGTATAAGGTATCATTAATTTTGCAGTGTATTATGAGATATCGACCCTGTGCGTCTTTTTTGATGTTCAGGAGTTCAAATGTAACTGACACATGAATGAGAAAGGATACACCTCTTGATTTGGAGGAGTAAGTGGAGTGGTACTGTGTGGGGTAGTCCCTGCTCGCAAAGGTGGGTACCCTGTTGTGTACAAAATGTGTCTCTTGTATGCACAATACGTCTGTTTTTGTGCGTTTTGCATCTTCAATGAGGAGCCGCCTTTTGTGCGGGGTATTCAATCCGCGGGTGTTAATAGTTTGTATTTTCATAATTTGTGTTTAGGTTTGTAACTGTGCGGTAAAATAATGCAGTTTCTGATTGACGTTTGCCTTATATTAAATAAGGAGCTGTGTGTCTCCATTAGTAGCAACCAAGGTAGGCTTAATGCAGCCATTGTATTGTGTTTTAGTATGTGGGCGGATGGGCGGTAATGTTGGCAATTTTTTCTGTCAATCTGTCTGGAGATTTGAAGCTGATCACGGGTTTCTTTAGGTGGGGAGAAGGAACTTGGGGAAGGAAATGTAACTATATACAGAGTGTCTCTCTCGGAGACAGTATGTGGTTGTACCACATCCAGGGGGCAGAAGAGATGTTTCTCTTCCATTAGCGTGGCTATTGGACACCTATGTTTTCGGTCGTATGTTGCATCTACAGTGCTGTAAGTGTGTGGATGCACATGGTATAAGTCCCAGCACTTATAATGCCGACCTCGTCTCGGTAAGGCCAGGGCGGGCTCCTCTGGGGTTAAGCTGAGCAAAACTCCGCCCAGGGGTTCACAGGAAATTCTTATGGGTTAATGAGTTGGGGGTATTTACCCGACTTCTGCTGGATGTGGGTCTGGCGTGCATGTGTGACTTTACATTATACATATTTTAGTACAGACAGAGGTTCGCAAGACTCACAGGAAAGGAACTACCTAAGGGAGAATAAAGCAGTTTCCCCATCTGAACTATCAGCCCCCCCTACTGCTGGTATCGTCTCCCGTTCCCCGAATTCCATCCCATATTGTCCCTCTCAAGTCCCTCAGTTTGTATATGATGAGAGCCTAGTTCCCAGGCCCCCCAATACCTTGTTGGGTCGTTGGACGCCCGTCACGTAGATCAATTGCGTTGGGCTGACCCGTTCATAGCTGTACGTTGGTTCTCGATTGTGTGAGTGAGTCCTTAAGGTAGTCCTTTATTAAGGTATAGGGACCTAGTAAATCAGAGTCTCAGGGTGACCGGAGTAACATCCAAGGGGGGGGAAGGAAAAGGGGTATCATCGGTTCGGGCATAGGTCCGGTCCAGAATCCCCCGCACTCCTCCACTGCTCTGCTTGCGCCTCGTCACAGGGATGGCGGGAGACCCTGGCCCAGTACTCCACCCCCAACTCACAGGCCGGTGTCCAGCATCGCACATCTGAAAGTCATTGTTGGCGGGCCAGTGAGCTACATATCTGCCATATGCCAATGTACAGCCAGTGCTCATGTAAGGGCCATCGCCCGCTGACCAGTATTTCGGCTGGTGTTAATGTTTTTCGTGGGTCTTCTTCCAGTCTTGTTTGAGTGTACCTGCTTGGGTCGTTGACTGTGTAGGTGGTTCCACCTGCATATCCGAGGCCTGCAATTTCTTCACACCGTCTTCAGGGGTGTTTATCACCGTCGCGCTGCCATCTTTCGTGATCACCAGTTTTGTGGGGAAGCCCCATCTGTACCGGATACCGTGTGATCTCAGTGTTGCGGTAACTTGGGCGAATTCTTTTTGCTTTTTTAGCGTAGCAGCCGACAAGTCTGCATATATCTTGACGGTGGGGTAGTCGGTTGGTGGTTTAGCCCTCATTCTGCTGCCTCGGAGGATATGTTCCTTTATATGGAAATAATGGGCGCGAAGCAGTATGTCTCTGGGCACTGTCTGTGGAAGGTGTCGGGGTTTCGGGATGCGATGCACCCTGTCGACCAGCAGCATATCCGTGGGTATCTCCGGTGCGTGTGCATGCAACAGGCTCCTCACATATGCCGGTAAGTCATCGTTGGATACGTCTTCTGGGACTCCCCTTAGGCATAGATTATTTCGGCGGGAGCGATCCTCCAAGTCCGCCAGCTTGTCTTCCAGTTTGTTGATTTCTATTGCCATGCGTTCCACGTTGCCAAATCTTTGTGAGCTGTGGCAAATTCATCACATTTATCCTTCATGTGTGATGTCCGTTTGCCCAGCTCCTGTATGTCTTTACGCATGGAGTCTGCTGTGTGTTGCCATGTGGTGATGAGTTTGCTGGATAGAGTCTCCAGGGCTGCATTGAGATCAGCTTTTGTTATTTGTGATGTGTTAGGTTGGTTTTCCAGTTCATTGGTGTGCATGCCGTCGTCCGATTCTGGATCCACAAACGCTTTTGAGGCCTGCGCCGCCATAGTCGCAGAGGTTTGTTTTTGGCTGAAAAAATTGAGCTTGTCCGGTTTTGCCGAGCTCCTCTTACTTTTGTGGTGAGACATTGTCGGATTGCAGAGGTAGATGTCACTTTAGGTGCTAGGATTGCATTAGATTAGGTGTCCTAGTGCTGGAGCAAGTTTTCATGCGACCATCTTGCTCCGTGGTTAGCCACGCCCCCCCCCACAATGGCACATTTTAAGGGGTGGGGGAGACAATATTTAACAGTAAATATCTCATCTGCCTGCAGAATTAGCAATATGCAAATCTACCCGAATATGCATATGAACCAGTCTTGCAATTCAGGTAGTGCATATTGCTGTTGCTACCAACAGAGGGCACTAGACAAGCTCCATAGCCAAACCCACCTAGTTGGTAGCAAACCTCAGCAGTACAGGAGAGCAGGCAATACATTTCACAGTACACACACACACACACACTATAAACAATTACATTACACACACCCTGCAGCTATAATGGGTACAGGGTGACTAAAACATAAGATAAATAAAGCAGCCTACATAAATAGTCTGTCTGAAGGTAGACTAGGGGCTTTAAAGCCAAATACATGAAAGAGTCATAGTCACAGGGGAGGAGGCTGGCAAGCAGGCCTCTCCAGGACCAAGTGGCGAAGGGCACTTCGTCACACCGCTGGTCTCTGCTCACTCAGCAACCAAGTTCTGGAGTACCCGTACCAAACACAGCCGTGATGGAGCCCCTGGACAAAGACTGGCTGCACGTTTCCCCAGGTGCAGTAACTTTTCATTGTGGGTGGGCTGCACTACTGACTATGTTTTGTGGGTGGGTTGCTGGACTAACCAAGGTACTGACCGACAGGAGGCCAGATACCTTGTTAGTCTTTTTGGGAAAGGGGAGAAATGTGGCGGAACCAGCCTCGCCACTGGGCATTGGAGAAGACTGATTGCCAGCCTCCTGCCCTGTGACTATGGCCCCATGTTGAAATGCTGTATTTTCACCTGCAAAGACCCGAAAGCCAGGTCATTCGGTACTTTCCCTATGGGAGCAGTGTTACCCCAGATAGCTTATGTCATCGAGCCCATTCGAATAACGAAAAACTATGTGAAAGACTTTGGCTCCATGGCAATTGAACTGTATGTATGTGATCTGAGCGCCATTCAGTAATAATTATCGCTCAGATCTAAGCTATCTGGGGATATGTTGAATGGAGTTTTGCCTCTGTCCTTGGAGATAATTGGATTACTTCCCAATTATCTCCAGGATAGAAGACTCTGTGGAACTGGTTTTGCTTGACCTCAAAACGAAGTATTGTCTCGTTACTGGGGGAATCTACTACAAGGGATTGCTATGCTAGTCATACTGCCTTGCTATATCACTACTAAGCTCTTGTAAGAGCTTGTTCCTGTCTTGCTCTCTGTAGGAGTCTACAGTGGTTATGGTGTCGGCTGGAGCATCCTTCAACGGAGGAACCCAGTCAGGGTGCCAGGTGATCTGTTACAATAAACATTGCTGTTTTTACAAAACTGCAATGTTTTGCATTGCAGGCTTAAAAGGACAGGGCCACTGCACCCAGACCACTTCATTGAGATGTATGACTTTAGTAGGCCTTTGACTGTGTTCTTTCATCATGTTTGAAAAATTTCAGCAATTTTTGCAAATGTGTTTAATAATTAAACAATAATCTATGGAATGCTCTAAACTTGCATCCCTTTTATCGCAGTCTCATCTCTAAAAAAATACATGATAGATTATAATCTATGCAGCAATGTGACTCGCCTTTACTCACTAAAGTAATTTGTGTGTGGATGTCTTTTTTTAAATGCTGCTATGTACCTATACTGGCCTAGATTTGTCAGAGTGAGCAATGGCTGAACAAACTAAAATAAAAAAAATAAAAAAATCTATTTTGGAACTAAAGTACACATTTGAATGTCTGTTCTTTTTTTTTGTATCTGTGTGACAGTGCCTATTTATAAACAAACTGCAGTAATGACAATTATTTGCTCTATTTTGCGATTATATTGCTCCATCTAGAGATAATTTGGACTATTTTAGCTAAAGGCAATATTGATCTCACTTTTGTCTGGGTAGCAAATCGTTATAAATATCTTACCAAAATGATGCAAATAAATTCAGAGAATCTGCTATGTTTACACTAGGGTTAATCCAGCCTCTAGTGGCTGTCTCATTGACAGCCGCTAGAGGTGCTTCCACGCTTCTCACAGTAAGAAGACGCCAGCGTCCATAGGAAAGCATTGAGAATGCTTTACTATGAGACTGGCTGAATGCGCGCGCAGCTCTTGCCGCGCATGCGCATTCAGCCAATGACATCAGTAGAGGGAGGAGAGTCCCAGCACCGAGGGACTCTCCTCCCTTTTCAGGTAAGGGATTAAGATAAGGGATTAACCCCTTCCTCACCCTTCAGCGCCACGGGAGTGGGACCCTGAGGGTGGGGGCACCCTCAGGGCACTATAGTGCCAGGAAAACAAGTTTGTTTTCCTGGCACTACAGTGGTCCTTTAAGATTGCTCTGTCAGTTTTTTGATCCCTCAGCTCCTAGAGAAAAGATCACTTGCTGTGGCCCACCAGCCTCTGTGAACTTTTTTTGGCCTAGGACTGGCTAAACTTTTGGTTTTTATAGTTGTTCTGGCCCCATCCGGGTCTTCTTTTTCGGTGCCATAATCCATAATAAAGCGGATGGGGCATGGAAATGGGATCTTTTGTCCTGCCTTGAGTGTGCATGTTAAATAACGTGCATATCCAGTACACCAATAGGCTTCAACAGACATGAGTCAATTCTAACAATTCTGCAACTGTCTATACTGAGGATCAGTGATGTGCTGTTTCCAGAAGTGATATGCGGCTGGAGGGAGGTGAGTATGCACACAGACGACCAATGACAAAGTTAACAAAGGCCGTGGAACTTAACTAAAGCTACACCTGTTGTCAACTTTTGTCAAACTGCATGTTTTGTATATGAAACAGTAGTCCTTACTTTTCCTCATATATATATTTGCAAAAAATTTTTACTGAAAAAAAAAGACAAAAAGTAGGGCAGACAAGGGGGAAGTCGGACATGTCTATTAAAAAAAAGTGATAGAGTCATTTTATACTTGCAATCGTCTGAATCTCCCTAGAGATAATAGGAGTCATGATGAAATAACTGCTAAAGGGATTTAAATTAGTAACAGAAAACATTAGAACAATTTCAACTCTTGCCTCCAATCCTTATTTATACACAGACTACATTTGGATTGCACAACAAAATTTGCACAAAATAAAACATAGCTTTTTTCAACTTTGCTCCAGTGCTGTTCTTTACCTGGTGGCAAAACATTTTTTTTAATATGGCTCCATTAAGTCTTCTTGAATATGACAAAGGAATGGTAAAGTATCACTTTTGCTGAACCAGAACCTGATGCTTGTAAGATTCAGGGCTGTATTCTAGCACTTGGGGAGTAGACACACTGCAGAGATTTTGGACTCATTTTTTTACATCAGCATTTCAAAAATGTAATGTCCTTTACAGAAAACATACAAAGGGTGCGTGCCCATTTTGGCTTATTTATTTATTTTGTCAAATTTCATGTATGCTAAAATAATTTTGCTAGCTGTTCATCTTATTTGTTAACTAAATATTACACATGTTTGTAAAGGGAAGGGTTTAAACAAAAACATTAATAAAAATCAAAACAATTACAATTGCATACGTTGCTTCAGTACAGCACCTAACAATATTTTGTTTTGGGGATTGGCTAAGTGTGATAGCAAGTCATTCATTTAAAAGGACATTATAGTCAGCAAAACAACTTACGCTTAATGAAGCCGTTTTTGAGTATAGATCATGCCTCTTAAGTTTCACTGCTCATTTCACTGTCTTAGGAGTTAAATCACTTTTATTTCTGTTTATGCAGCCCTTGTCACACCTATTCTGGCTGTGACTGACACCGTCTGCATGAATACAAAATGGTTTCATTTTCAAGCAGATGTAACTTACTTTAAACGTTTTTATCTCCTGCTCTGTAAATTTAAATTTAATTATAAACAGGATGTTCCTGCAGGGTCTAGCAATCTATTGACAGAGAAGTAGATTAGAATTTCTAAATTAAAGAATTTGCAATAAAAAAATGTAGACATCAGGACGGCTGTGTAAGTCACATGCAGGGAGGTGTGCCCAGGGCTCCATAAACAGTGATTTGACTCCCAAATGGCAAAGAACTGAGCAGTGAAACTGCAAGGGCATGGTTTATACACCAAAACAGCTTTATAAAGCTAAAGTTGTTTTGGTGACTATAGTGTCCCTTTAACTAAATGTTGTATCATTAAACTGGCAGTGAGCTTTTAAAGCATTAAGGGAGGAACCTTTATAAAAGCTGCACCACTAGGTTTGCATAGTAAATACATGTAAATTATGCAAAACAAATACATTGTGTGCTACACTCTTAACTATTTACGATCTGAATAGCACAGATAAAACTTGCTAAAAGGTGATGTTAGTCAGCTGCAGGTATTTTGGCTTTGATTTTATAGACTCAGAACTGAAAGGGTTATTTAGTAAAGTGACAATTCAAAGTGAATTTCAAATTTAAGGCCAGAATAGCTGAACTGAAAGCATACCTGACTTAGCGAAAGTTTCCAGTTCGGCTGTTTTGACTTTAAATCTGAAATCTACTCTTAATTCTAACTGTGTGAGTCAGCTTAGCATTCATCTTGTATGGAATGTGCTATGTATTGCCTTATTTCATGTTCACCTGATTTTAAGCCTGGCTTAGATGAAACAATGCTAAGGCTACAATAATTTACCTACAGCTGGAAAAGGGTAATGGGAGTTTTATCCAAAAGCTACTGTAAGGATTTTGTTTGGCTCCCAAGCTGCTTTCAGATGACCAATGCTAAAAGAATGTATCTTCTTTTCTTTTTTGCTTTGATCAGCCTCGATTTTTCATCCCTTTTCCCTCTCCGATCCTCCTGTCTCTTGCCTTTTATCTCGAACTCTCTCCCTTTGC